TGTCTTGCTTTATCATAAAGACATATTAAAATATGGATCTTTGAATTACAAATTAGAAAGAGATTCGATTCTGTAAAAAAAAATCATGTTTATCATCCATCATCCAGTAAGTTAAGCGTTGGATTGCCTTTTAGAATGATCATTTTCAAGACCAAAGGAACAAATGAGAAGGCTTTTCTTACATTCGTAATTCAGTGTCTATTGGTTAAAATTGTACCTCAGCTATTAGTCCTTTGGGTAGTTTGTAGAGCTCTAAATAAGCTTTCTACTGCCTGTGAGGAATTGGAGACTTTTGGTGATGTCAGTCCTCCAGAGAGTTGTCCAGGTAGGCCATTTCATGATGGAAGTAATTCATACCACCGGGGGTCTTGGCAAAGATTATCATACATCTCTGTTTTCTAGAGACAGTCTTTTTTGTTGATCCTCCCATGCCCGGGTTGTTTCACAACTTTTGGAGACTAGCCAAGGGAAACCAGCTTTTGCCTAAAGAGTCTTTCAGAATCATCAGAGATATTACATTTTGGACAATAAACAGAAAATACTCCCAACATAAGGAAGAAAAATCAGCAGATGTCACTTTTAAGACAGGCAATCTTCCTTGCCCATACGTGGAGAATAATAATACCTATCTCAATAACAGGAGTTTGGCCGGGCGCAGTGGTTCACACCCGTAATCCTGCTCTTTGGGAGGCTGAGGCAGGAGGATCTTTTAAGCCCAGGAGTTCGAGACCAGCCTGAGCAACATAGCCAGACCCTGTCTCTCTAAAAAATAGAAAAATTAGCCAGGCATGGTGGCACGCTTCTGTGGTCCCAGCTATTCAGGAGGCTGAGGCAGGAGGATCTCTTGAGCCCAGGAGCTTGAGGTTTCAGTGAGCTACAATGATGCCACTACGCTGTAGCCTGGGCAACAGAGTGAGACTCTGTCTCAAAAAAAATAAATAAATAAGAGGAGTTTATGTATACAGAAGTATATGTGAAGAGCTAAATAATCATCTTGGTTTGGAGAAGTCAGTATTTATAAAAATGGAACTGTGAATGGATTAGGATGAAGCTTTGCCTTATTAGAGCCAATGTCATAGAAAGCATGAAGATTTTTTTTCTCTAAAAGGAGGAATGATTGGATTTTTCAAGGAGAGATAGAATCATGCTCCTAGACTGGAACCACCTGGAAGTGGACTATTTTTTATTTTATATTCTTGAAGTCAGCGCTGTGGGAAAACAACACACACTTTATGTAGTTGAAGTGAACCTGTCAGTCTGTGTGGTGTGTTCTGCAAGCACAGTGACTTTTCTGTAGTTTCTGACCCCTGTTTGGGATCTGGAGCCAGCTCTGGGCAGAGAGCAGCCACGTCCCAGCCACAGTGTCTTTTGTGCTGCCTGGGACTCACCATGATGAACTTCAGGAGGGTGCTAACCTCAGGGAGAAGTACCACTGCCCCTCGGTGACACTTGGGCCAACCCTTCACACCTCCTTTTAAGAGGTAACTTTGGTTGAGGATCTGCTCCATGCCAGTCCCAGGCATGTGCTGTACCAGTACATGGTCATCTCTCAGGGTGCATCTCAAGCTTCTTTGGTTGTTAAAGAGCTTTCTTATCTACAGTTGGATTTCTTTTAGAGCTGGCCTGATTCCTGGAAGGCTGCATAGGTGTTCCACGGCATGTGTTTGTTTTCACGATTTCTGTAGGCTCTGAGCATTTCTCTCCTTATTATCCCAGAGGGTCACACACATGAGCCAAGTGACAATCATGCAAACCAAAAAACATGACAAATAGCTGATGCCCTGAGCCCCCGTATGCCCCTCCCACCACCCCGGAACCTCCCGCTAGGCCCCAGTTCGTCTGTGCCCATGTGATACTGGCGGTTAGCAAGTTTGAACAGCAACCCTTGGAAGACCCCATCCATTTTCTGAAAATGCTTTGAACATATCATTTATTTTTCGTTGTAGAATGTCTGTTTTAGGAATATGTGATTATAACTTAGCATGACTTGACTAATTTCTCCTTTTTTCAGCTGACCGAGTTAAATACCTTCTTCTTGAAGCATATCTTTGTGTTCCAAGCCAGCCATCCATTAAGTTGGTGTAGAATTCTCTTCATTGGTGTCATCACAGCTCCCACAGTGAGGTAATTCTGTACAAGCCTGACCGCCACTTGAGGACATTAACCTGCTTTATATTGTCCTGTTTATCATAAGGAAAGTCACATGAACGAGGAGATTTTCTCTGAAAATACCATTCTAAAGAATTATATATCCAGAATATGAAGAAAATGTTTTGATCTCAGACTTCAGTAACATTACCGGGGCTTTAAAAGAAGGCAAATCATCAACACCATCCCAATAGTATTGTCCATTATTTTCCAATCCCTTTATCATTGTTCACTGCTGGTCTTTTTTTTTTTTTTTGCCTGCTAAACGTAATATTAATATTAGAAAAAATTAGTAGCAGTGACACCAAGTTTTTTTAAAATGAGATTATTGGAAAATAAAAAGTTTTTATGGTAGAATGAAAGTCATAAATTTTTAGAATGAGACTTTATTAGTTTTTTTAGACCCAATTAAACTTAATTTCCTTTTAAAAACATGCTTCCTGTAGTCATCCAGGATGACTGAGATAAGCTTGGGCGTTCCTGCCGTTATTCACCTAGATTCAAGTAGGGCCCTTGCGGCGAGGCTCACTCAGAGACTGTCCCTTATGGAGATCGAACCCAGTGAAGTCCAAAGCAAACGTTTTCATTTGTTCCATTTTTTCCATTTAGAAATGACATTTGGGTTTTATAGCTAATATGGAGTACTGGCATTGAACAGTAGCAACAGCAAAGATCTGCCAAGATATAAATATAATCTAAGCAGTTAAAAGAATTAGCTTTTCAGAAGCTATAGACTTGCTTAGTTCATCGTTTTTAATGTGCTTGCAAACCACACAAGTAGAGAGCCTCACTTGCCAAGGAGAGTAGATGTTCACCTTGATTCAACAGAGCCTGCTCTCTTAGCCAGCTCCTCTTGTTGTCATTCATTATTACCAAAAAAAAAAAAAAAATCCCCAAATCCTGGATTGAACAAACCAAGTAAGTCATGTCTGAGTTCTGTGGAGTGAAGGCCAAAAGTTCCATCTCCTCTTTTTTTTGTGATCCCAAAAGGAAAGGAACAGTTGGTAAACCTGCAGCCCTTTGAAACTTTGTAGACTAGTGGTCTGATGCAGTCGTAATCTTATAAATGCTGTTTCCCTTAATGGTTTCGAGTCCTCTTTTAAAGTATAATTTAACTTGAGACTTTACATTTATTTTCAGGAAAGATTAGCAGCAGCTCCTTAGTGAAATTAAGAGCAATCAACAAAGTCAGCAAGAACAGGAAGAGATTTCCTCTTAGAAAACAAAACAGCAAATCACATATGATTTATCATGAAGTTTCAATATTGTTAAAAATTCCAAAACAAAAACTAGAGACTAAAAATCCAGTGTTTCGAACTTCTGATAGCTCCTCAAAATTTTGCCGAACCTAATGGATTTCCACACAATTCTTTTTTTAAAAAAAAAAAATCAGCCACTTTCCCTGCTTTTACACTGCTTGAGGCTTCCCGTGTAAGGAGGTGCTTTGACAAGTTACCTGGGAAGATGGAAGTGTAGTAATGGATTTTAACCCAGCCATCCCAGGTAACAAATGCCAGGCCCTAAAAGGAGAGAGAGTACTTACAGTCTTCAGGATAAATTGTACACACCACATCTCCATTTTCTTCCTTTTTCATTAGACTTTCACACGAATCTGCTGTGAGAAGATATTTGAGTGAACATTCTTTTAATCTGATAATATAAAGTGCAGTATAAGGAGATAGGTGCAGTTAGAGGGTAAAGTAGCTGAACTGGTAAAGGCAAATTAGATAATGACTATGTAAAGTTAGGGGAAAACCGACATTCTTGATAACTGGAATTCTTCACTCTGTTCTTTGGGGTGAGGAGGTGATAGTTCATGGATGAGCTTTAGGTATCTGTGAATCCCCTGAAGTTTAATGTGAAAGTCTGCGCCTTTGTGATAGCTTTCCTCAAATCCTCAAAGAAGTCTGTGATCCCAAAAAGATGGTGAGCTCCTGGTTCAGATGCTACTTCCGAAGGGGTGAATTGAGTCTCGGGGGTACTTACGAGACACTAAGCTACACTGTCCCGTATGGCAGCCACTCACCACGTGTGGCTGTTGAGCACTAGAAATGGGGCCAGTCTACACTGAAATGTGCTGCACGTGTCAACTACACACCAGATTTTGAAGAGCTGGTGCCAGAACAGAGTATAAAATACCTCATTATAATGTTTTAATATATTGGTTCAAATATTGGTTTAAGTAACATTTATCATTAAAATGAATTTTCTCTGTTCCTTTTTACTTTTTAAACATGACCACTAGAGAATTTAAAATTGCATTCATGGCTTGTATTCTATTTCTGTGGTATGGTGCTGTTCCAGGCCTTTTGACTCCATGTCATTGCCTCTTCCCATCTTGTCAGTAATATTCAAAGTCATTGGCATTCAGTGATGGTGGAGTGCACCTGGGATCCCATTCCAGTTTCTGAGAGCCAAAAAATGTGTGTGTTTCTAGCCTGGTTACAGCCAGCAACCTTTGCCCTGGAGAGAGCCGGAGGAGACGATTAGTGGGACAGTGCAGGTGACCCTCTGGAATCATCTCCAAAGCACCAGGGGCTGAAACACCTACGTGGGGTTGCACAGGGCCATGAGAGTCTTGTCACTGAATCAAGACTGCCTTTGCCAGTCATCTGGCTCTTTAAGCTGTGCTCCCTGCCCTCCAGCCTAACCCGAATTGGGAATCTCTGACAGGAATGTTCCTGCAGGCACTGGCCAGCTTTCTGTTCCCTTGAATAAAGCTAGTCCAGGCAGCTTGAATAATGGAACAAGGCGGGACATTTTTTATATTCAGGCCATCAAAGTGATTTAATTATGTGTTGACTTTTTGGTCTTCCAGAAGCTCTCAATGAATTCCAACTTTGTTCTTTCAGACAGTACTATGCTTACCTCACCGACACGCAGTGCAAACGCGTAGGAACACAGTGCTGGGTGTTTGGGTGAGTAATCTATTATTGTGGAGGTTGAAAACACCTTGAGCCCCTCAATTTCTTTGGATATTTCTTGTCTTTCGGTGTGTAATTTTCCTATGAAGGCAGGTGAACAAGGTTTGCTGCTGTTTTTTTTTTTTTTTTTACACATCTTTCATCTCTAATATTCCCTTTTCTGATTTAAGCGTAGTTACTTGGCAAATTATAGAAAGAGAGTATAGAAATTGCTCTTTTTAAAAAAGTATTAGGAAAACAGAAGATATTTCCCACATACAATTCAAGAGACCTTGTTTTATGAAATAAATTAGAGAGAAAATGGATTGGTCGAATCCCCTCTGACTGTTCTCGAGTTTGGGACATCATCCTGTCATGGGCTTACGCACACCATGTGTTACTTGCACATCAGAAGGACTTCTTGAAACAGCTGCTTTCATTATACTGAAGTATAACTTTAGTGTTCCAAAAAGAAATAACACACAGCATGGTCATAATTTATTGTCCTATTATAGATTTAAATGCTACATCTTAATTTACTATTATTTAACTGACTGGAAAGAGGCCTTAGCTTATCTGGTTTCACACCCTACTGTTAAACATGAGACCCTCTTCAGTATCTCAGGTAAGTCCTTCTTGTGCTTAAACATCAGCAACAATTTACCATCCCGTTTAGCAGCGGAGGTTCCAGAGACATCCAGGAAAACTATGCGTGAAGTTCAGTCTCTGAAATAGTGTAGATTCAAGACCTAACCTAGGTTCTAAATTGAGTGTGTCAGTATAAAGAAAATTTGAGGTAAACCTATAGTAGAGAAGAAATTATTTTCGCACATTTTTAAACCATACATTTTCCAATTGAAAAGTAATACATGCACATCAATAAAAATTCAGAGAAGTATAATAGAGAAGAAACTAAAGATCAGCCAGAGAAGTCAACCATTCAGAGATAATCACTGTTAATATTTCAATGCCATTCCTCTCAAACATTTTTCTCCGCGCGCGTGTGTGTATGCGCGCGAACCCAGTTCTCATTTCAGATTCTGAGCGTTTACCTATAGTTTTAAATAAATGTTAAGGTTAGATTTAGGCAAGTTCCTCCCCACCCCCAGAAGACAAAGGGCCATTGTCATTTGTTTTTCATAAATTCTGTGGCATAAGCTGATTTTCCTATCCAAAGTGACTGCAGCTTAAAGGGTGATAAGATGGATTTAGTTTCCCATTTTGTAAAATAGCAGGAGGGAGAGTGCACACATCTCCCAGATTTCTGATTAGACAGAGTCAGGGCACCCCGCTGTAGAGGGAAAGACGTGGGCCGCTCCTTCTTAAGGTCTTGTCCAAGGAGGAAACGACCTCTCCTGCATTTGAGCTCTTCTCCCCAACCCGCATGCTTTCCATCCGCATTTTCCTCCATATTTAAATGTACTTGGCAAGGTCTAATTCTCCTGTGGAGTGGATGTTTTCCACAGAACTGTATCAATTTACCTGTTGAGGAAAAGATGTGTATCAAAGAGAGAGGTATCGTTATGATAGAATTTCTCTCTGCAGCCAAAGAGTGCAGTCCCCATGGTGGGAGAAACAGCAAAGGTAAATGACACCGAAGAGTGGTAGAAAATGTGGCTTCAGAATGTTGTGCCTTGTGGGAAAGTGATTAAAATAAAGCTGAATGCAAAGGAGAGATCATTTGGCTATTTTCGAATGCTTCATTGAGAATTGAGAACTCCCAGAACAGTGTGAGATCAAGATTAATGAATCTTGTGAGAAGCGGTGAGCCGCGCTGAAAAATAACAAATCCCTCTTGATAAATCACACAGGGCGGATCCACCTGTGTGCTTGAACACCAGCGAGAGCTGCCCCCTGTGAAGTCCCCACTGCCAGCAGGTGGAGGTGGACCGAGTCACAGGCTCCAGCTCTCCTCTGAGTGTTTGCCTGGAGGCCCCCACCCCCTTTTGTCTTTATTTCCTCTCCTATCAAAACGGAAAACACTTAAATGTCTGATTTCCTTTAGTAACTAGTAGCTGCTTTATAATAATGGCTTTCTTGTCACTAATTTTGGAATGATCCCAGGCTTTAGCAAGATGTGGAGACATTAGAGGGAGCAGAGCAGCAGTGCCCCATATAGTATAATGACATCCCAGAGGTGCCTTGGGGGAGGGGGAGGGCAAAGGTCAAATAGGACCATCTTCCTGAGGTTTCTTTCCCACCATGCCACATCTCTTTCTCCTGAAGGCGGGGAGGGGCCCTTTCTCTTCTGTACGTAGCGTACCCCAAGAGGTTTGTATGAATTACTTGCTCAGTAACTTACCATGCCTTCCTCAATAGTTGTCCTGTAGATCTGAGCTTTTGATTAAAGGTGTTGCACACAGCAGAGACAGGGCTCCATCCAGCTCGGGAGTGGGAACCCTGCCAGGGAGAAAGCTGCAGTGTGGAAAAGTCGGCCCCTTCTATGTTGAGAAGTCACGTTATGTTCCTCCAGCCCTGTGGGAGTTTTAGGGCCAGACCGATACGAACAAATTCCCCAGGTGTGCAGTTTATGTCATCTTTGTCTTTTCCCCCACTCCATATAAATGAGCTTCTATGCCTCAGAAAGAGAGTGTTAGTTTAAAAAGAAAAGATGTTTCATCCCTTGGTCCTGGGAGGAAGGCAGCCACACTTTGGCTGGAACAGTCACTGTCCCTTTTCCTGAGAGTCCTTAGGGTGGGTGGGTGAGTCCACGCTACCTGAGGGCCCAGGACTGGGTCCTGCCTGTGAGGGGCGCCCACCAGTGTCCTCGCTGCACATCATCTCCTCCTGCTGATGCCTTCGTTGCAGTAGCTTCCACCTCTGCTGCTCTGCTAAACTGTTCTCTCCAAGGTCGGTGCCAAACCAGCAAGTCTTCTCCATCCTCTTCTTGCATCTTCTGCAGTGTCTGCCTTCTCCGAGTGGTCCTCTTCCTGCAGTGACATCCGTCCCCGGTTTCTTTTGCTGGCTTCCCATTCCTCCCCTGCCTCCCACTACAACTTCTCACAACTGCGGCTGTTCTTGCAGGCACAGAGCTCCGGCTGTCTGAAGCACAGACGCAGCTGTGAAGCACGGGGACCCTTCCAGGAGAAGGGAACAGGCTGAGGGGGACAGACATCAGAGGCTTCCCTTCCCAGCACGACTGGGTCACTGCTATCCTGCTGGCAAAGCTTTATAACCATTTTCCCTTCACCCGACCTCCTCGAGACTGTCTGTTCATCGCATCCGCCCTTTATCCTGCGGCTCCCCGCTCTTGTGAGCACCCCCAACATCTCAGAACCTCTGGCTGTAGTTACAAGGCATTTTTTAGCAGCTGATTCCCTTTCCTCAAATGGCATCTCACCTGCAACCCTCTTAGCTGTCCAAACCTTGAGCAGAACTGTCCTGGGGATGCCACCCCAGGACCCTCTTCTCATCCTCCCCTCCCTGCACCCAGGGCTCTTTGGAAGTCAGAAAGTACCCAGGAGCACAGCTGGAACTTCATCCGTCTGTGAAGGCCCCACTCAGCTCTCACCTCCAAAAAGATGCCTTTGCTCTCAATCAGAACTGGACGCTCCCTCCTGAACTTGGCGAACCCTTCTGGGCCTCCTGTGTGATTGTGTGACAGTTGAGTCACGTGGATACGCATCTCGTTTCCACTGTGGAGGGCGGCTCCTGGCCGGCTGGAGACACCCCGCCCCACACACACACCAGCTGCCCCAGAAGTGCCACTTGTGCAGCTGTGGAGCAGTTTGTGGGATTCAGGCAGCAAAGCCTCCGGCCTCCGTGGCCGTGGCATTGCTGTGGCCTCCTCAGAATCCAAGGGCAGTCTTGTTGGCAGACTGAAAACTCTTCCTCTGCTTCTCGGGATTGGCTTGTACGCCCAGCGCACACACGGGAACCTAGAGCTTTCGTGCCCCAGATTTCTCTAGCAACCCGGCTTCCGTTCTTGTTCCGTTCAGTAAGCAACTCCTGACCCAGGCTCTACATCATTAGCATATTTCCCTGTGCGGTGGAGCTGGGAGCACGAGTCAGCAGACCAGTACTAGGTCAGAAGTCTCTAGTGCCTGCCCCAAGGCAGAAGCACCCCTGGCCGCCTAAATGTTTATTTGCCTCCTAACCTTGCCAAATCGAGATGTGGATGTCAGTCACAGGCATCAAAGGGAGTGAGGGCACAGACTGAATTCATCAAGTTGGCCACCTAGCTCACCCTGGGAAAGATCAGAGAGATTTCAATTTGAACTGAGTAAAGGGACGAGTTGCCAAGTTGAGCAGAGGGAGTCCCCAGCGGAGAATGAAGGGAAGGTGGGAGGAGGTAGGTGTTGTCTCAGCTGGTGGCTTCATACAGGCCCTCAACTGCACCAAGCCTCTGGCCTTAGCCCTGAACTACCTGCCATTTGAGTCGTGGTAGAAAAGTAGCGTTCACGTTCTGGAAGGGTGCTGTTGATTAGGACTCCCTCGAGTGGGCTGGGGATAATGGTGGGGGCAGAGGTTGGTGGTTAAGGGTCCATGTGGCTTTTGGGTTTGATGCCTCCTGTTCCCACTGCTTCTCACCAGCCCGGTGGCTCCCACCAGGTCCCCATGCCTGGATGAGTGCAGTAGCCTCCCCGCTTCCACTCTTGCCCTCTCACTGCAGTTCTGCCAGAAATGAGCATGTTAAAATATAAATCTAATCTTGTTAGACCCTCTGCTCCAAACCCTCCAGCGCTTCCTCAGACTAAAAGCCATGCCCAAGGGCAGCCCTCAAGACCAGCGTTTCCCAGACCTCAACCCCTTCCCCTCCCTTCCGGGCCCTCCTTGTCCCCTCCCTGTGCCTAGTCTCAGCCTGGGACCCTCCACACCCAGAGAGCCCCACAGCTGCCTCCGCACCTCCTCCTAGGCGTGCTCAGCTGTCACCTTCTCGGAGACGGGCCCACACGCATGGACAATGGCTTAGCTAAGACTCCTTAGCACGTAGGAGCAAATCACATCCTAAAGTTGCTAACTCAAAAGCACTGGGCTTTAGAGAAAACTCAGGTCATTGTGAAGTCATCGAGTGGGTCCATTTTCATTCTTAAAATGAAATAGAAAAATACCAGAGTAAGGATACAGCTTGTTAGTTTCAGTGGTGCGTGTGTGTGTGTGTGTGTGTGTGTGTGTGTGTACTGGGTCACAGTGAAGAATGTGTTTCTTGCCATGGGTCTTAGATCACAAAAGTTTGAGAAACACAGCTTTTGTCTGCCCGTCACCATGCATTTGAAAGGGGACGGAAATCTAGTTGAATGTTCAGAAACCTTTCTTAATGAACTCAGGGTGTTCTGTCTGGCTTGTGGGAAGGCAGTCACATTTAGATCCCGGGCTCGGCACTTCCTCATAGCAGTTCCTAGGTAGTCCCAGCCAAAGATGAAATCATCCTTTTTATGTCCCCTCACAAGCACCCCCTCTCCTCACTGCACGGGCTGGAAGTAGCAAAAGTTTAACACCATCCAGTGTCGGATCGCGGTCTGGACTTCAGGATAGCAGTGAAATGAGCCTCCTGTGTTCCTCAGCTAAAATGAGGCATTCTCACAAGTGACATACTTTGTGTCTTTAAAGACAATGGTCTTTAAAGATTCAAGCCAGCCACTCTTAAACCTTGTTTGGTTGGGGCTAGGGGAAAAGTCAGTCCCAAAATCTCTAAAGATACATTAAAGAGACTTTCTGTTGATTTTCTGCTTTGCTGAAGTGGTTCTAACTCCACTGTTGTTTAGAGCCATCCGCACATTTGATGATGGCAGTGACATTTGTGTCTGCCAGTAAGCAGGGAACCAGAGGACCTTCTTGGCCGTTTCTCGCCTTTGTAGAAAACATCTGTGCAAGTACACCAGTCCCTGAGCATCCAGATTACATCCGAAGCAAGGAACCCTAAGGTGGCGTTGTGTGAAATCGGTATTCTTACACTGTCCTTGGGATCTCGTGGCCGACTGTACGACCCTCACCTCATCTGTTCTCACCTCCAAGTTCTGAACCTTAATAAAGTCCTGATTTTTATATTCGTAAATGAAGGCATAGGACATAAGATTGGCTTTTTTCTTTAATGTTTTAATTAAAGGGGAAAACAAAGCGTGTGTGTGTTTTTTAGCATTTTTGTATTTAGCACAACTGCTCACAGTACAAGAGAGGATAAAAGGTTGATACTGTCAGCAAAAACGGGTTATTTAATCTAGAAATTTTTAGAAGGCTGAGAGGGAATGTGATCGATGCCTTTGAGTTATTGAAAGACTCCCTTGGAAAGCTCAAACTCACTATGTGGCGGCTGGGGGCAGTGTAAGAACCCATTGGTAGAAGGCAGATACTAACACAAGGCAGGAAAAACTTTCCAGTAACTAAAGAGTTTGACCACAGGAACAAGCCGATTGAGTAGGTTCCCTGTGCTTGAGAGGGTTCCAACAGAGGTGGCGTGATGGTCCACCCCCGACAGGAATAGGGCTCTAAGTTAGACGATACCAGGTGCCTCCAGGTATTAAAATTTGTGAGTCGAGGTTTTGGTCTGGAAGAAAGAGGTAAAAAAATATTTTATTATTTCTGAAGAAAGTGTAGTGGCTAAAACAGTGTCATTTTGTGGGGTACCTACTACCAGTGTTCGTGGCATAAATCTTGTGACCAGTTGAGCTTTTTGATTCAATCATATATATTGCTGGTAATGTGTATGCTTTGGAAAGATGAATTAATATTTAACCTCTTGTTCTCTAATTAGGGTCATTGGTTTCCTGGAAGCTATTGTTTGCATAAAATTTGGACAAGATCTCTTTTCTAAGACCCAAATACTGTATGTTGTGCTTTGGCTTCTTTGCGTGGTAAGTCATTACTTTTTTACCAAAAGTGTTAGCTAAGTTCCCATGGTTATCTCTTAAGAAAAGAAACAAAAAAAAAAAAAGAAAGAAAGAAAGAAAGAAAAACTCACTTGTGCACCAAGTTTCCTTAGAAATTCGTAGAAAGATGTTCTACGTGTAAGAACCCAAGACTGGCCACAGTCTGAAGCTCAAGAATAAAACACAGATGACCACACAGCTTCTGAGATGGGTCACCTTGGCAGGTTTACGTCAAACGTCCTCAGCGAGCATGGACACGTGCATTCATTTCACTTGTGGGAATTTGTCTCCACGTGCTGTGCATTTAAGGACTGCCAGGAAGGGACAAGGACGATTACACTGCCCTTTCCTTCATCTCATCATCATGCTTTATGCATTTTAACATACACATCACTGCACACGGGTTTATATACAAAATGACGTATTATAGTTTGTAGGTGATAAAAGATGTTTTGGAAGGAATCAGATTGTGCAATTTCTGCCCTGCAACAAGCCCACTTTATAAACCCAAGCCTGGGTAGGATGAGCTTCCGCTCTGAAGGGAAGAGCGCAGAGGGAAGTCGGCCCAGGCCTCCTGCTCTCTTCTCTGGGACTTTTCCCTCACCTTTAAAATGAAGATCTCACCCTGTTTATACATTTTGTGACTGCCATTCTTCATTTAAATGTTTGAACTTATTATTTTAGAGAAAAATTCTTTTATATTTAAGCTTAAGATTCTTGGTCTAGAAAATTAATTTGGGCTTTTATTAGTAATCACAGAAAATTTCAAACATATCTGCAAGGAAAGAGAATAGATGACCCCCTCATGGAGCCGTCTTCCAGTTTCAACAATTATTGACTCAGGGCCAGTCTTGTTTCCTCTTGTGCTGTACCCACAATCCCCACACTGAATTATTTCAAAGCAGATCCACCTTTAATATTTCAGGACAGGTCTCTAAAAGAAATTAAGAATGCTTTTTTTGTTTAATGGAACCACCATACCATTATCACATCTGAAAAAGAATTAACAATAATTTCCTTAAGATTATCAAATATCTAATCAGTGTTCAAATTATTAATTTGTTTCTTAAATTTTGTAATTTTTAAACAATGTATTAGAATCAGCATCCTCTCATTGTGATTGATTGGCATGGTTTTTAAGCCTCTTCATCTGTAGGTTTTCCCTCCAGCTCTATCTCTCTCTCCCTTGCAGTGTATTTGTTGCAGAAAGCAGCTCTTTTGTCCTAGAGACTTTCCCAGACTTTCCCATCTGGATTTTACTGTTTTATCCTGTCTTGTAATTTATCATATTCTTTGTCCTGTGTATTTTTTGTAAATCAGTAATTAGATCTAGAAGCTTAACCGGATTCAGGTCTAAATGTTTTTTTTCTTTTCCTTTTTTTGGCAAGACTAAACTTTGTATTTTTAAAGTGTCTTTTATTGCCTTTCGTGGTACCTATTTTTAGGGCTACTTGTTAGAAATCCGAAGTGTGCCAAGGTACTGTGAGCCTGTTCTGTCTTGTTTCATCTTGAGCAATAAAAGGGAATAATGATCTCCTTTGTATTTACTTACGGAATTAATGCCCAGTTATATTTTTCCATCCCAGAGTGACCAGATGTAAGGAATTGGTTAGGTGAGCATGTCAGATGTGCCCAGACGTTTTCATCCTATTCTTCCCAGATTTCTCTCTGGCCTGTGCACCTCAAGTCTGAATCGTAATGGGCCCTGACTGTGTGGGCGGCTTCGGGTGCTGTCCTCACTTAGTGCCAGAGAACCACGGGGCCTTCAGGGAGACTGGGCAGATGGGACTTCAGCCACCTGCCGCCCACTGGCCCTGGACATCAGTCACCAGAAATGTCTTCTCAGGCCACGTATTCAAGAAGCCCCCTCTGGTCACTGTTTAAGGCTGTTTTCTGTTGCTATAACAGATTACCACAGACTGGGTAATTTATGAAGAAAAGAAGTATTAGGCTCAGGGTTCTGGAGGCTGGAAGTCTAAAGAGTGTGGCGCCGGCACCTGGCAGAAGGGCAGAAGGTAGAAGTGAACGTGAGAGACAGAGGAAAGTGGGCCGGATTCATCCTTCTTACCTGAAACTCACTCATGCAATACCTAACCCATTCCTGTGCTAATGGCATCAGTCTATTTACTAATATGAGGGCAGAGCCCTCACTACCTAATCACCCCTTAAAGGCCCTACCTCCCAGTACCATTGTATTGGCAATTAAGTTTTAGCATGAGTTTTGGTGTGAACATTCAAACCATGGCATTCCACCCCCTGGCCCCTCAAAACTCACGTTTTTCTCATGTACAAAATGCATTCATTCCATCCTAGTAGCCCCGAAAGTCTTAATTCAGTCCAGCATAAACTCAAAAGTCCAAAGTTCAAAATATCGTCTAAATCAGACACTCATCCTAAGGCAAATTCTTTCTGGCTGTGAGCCTGTGAAATCAAAACAAGTTTATTTACTTCCAAAAGACAATGGTGGGACAGGCATTCCCATTCCAAAAGGGAGAAATAGGTAAGAAGAAAGGGATAACTGGTCCCAAGTAAGTCCAAAACCCAACAGGGAAAACATTAAATCTTAAAGCTGGAGAATAATCTCCCTTGGCTCCATGTTCTACATCCTGGACACAATGGGGGCTTGAGAGGGTACGATAATATAATCTTTCTCCCTCAAGGCTCAGGCAGCCCCACCCTACAGCTTCCCTGGGCTCAGCCCACATTTCAGCTCTCCCAGGCTGCAGTTGGGTGCTGGTGGCCCTACAGTTCTGTGGTCTTGGGGGTAGCCCCACTTCTACAGCTGTGCTTGGCATTGCCCTAGCTGTGGCTCTCTGTGGTGGCACTGCCCCGTGGCAGGTTTCTGCCTGGGCTTTCAGGTGGTCTACGGCATCCTTCGACATCTAGGTGGAGGAAGCTGTACCCCCCCAGCTCTTATGTGCCTATAGAATTAGCACCAAATGGACACTGCCAAGGCTTACAGCTTGTACCTTCCAAAGTGGCAGCCTGAGTACACCTGGGCCCACTTGAGCCACAGCTGGGGCAGCTAAGGAGAACTGAGCTCCTGGGCATTGGGCCTGTGGAGAGTGCCCCAGGCCTGTCCTTGAAACCATTCTATCTTCCTAGAGCTCTGGGCCTGTGATGGGAGGGCAGCCTGCAAGATCTGTGCAATGCGGGTCTTTCTCCTGCTGTCTAGATGACTAGCACCTGGCTTCTTCTATCCATGGCAATCTCTTTAACAAACTGTCACTTGGCCACACCTTTTAATATTCTCTTGTGAACATGCTTTTTCACTCTTCATGTGACCAGGCTATGAATTTTCCAAATCTTTCTGCTCAGCAGAGAAATTCCATCTTTAAGCCATTTTTTTACTCTCACATCTCACTGTATGCTGTCAAAAGTAGCCACACAGCAGCTGAATGCTTTGCTGTTTGGATGTTTCTTCTGCCAGATATCCCAGTTCATTACTCTTAAGTTCTGCCTTCCATAAAGCCCTTGAGCATGGCCACAATTCAGCCAAGGTCTTTGCTACTTTATAACAAGGATGGTCTTTAGTTTCCAATACCTCATTCCTCCTTTCCACCTGAGACCTCATCAGAATGGCCTTTGCTGTCCATATTTCTGCCAGCGTTCTGGTCATGCCCCCTTAAGTCATCTCTAAGAAGTTCCAGACCTTCCCTGCAGCCCCTCTCTCCCTCTGAGCCCTCACCAGAGTTGCCCGTAATGCTCTATTCACAGTAATATTGGCTTTTCCTAGGCTGCTGCTCCAGATTCTTCCAGCCTCTACCCATTACCCAGTTCCAAAGCTGCTTCCACATTAGCAGGCATTTGTTATAGCAACAGCTATATAACAGCTTGGTACCAACTTTCCGTCTGAGTGTATTTCTGTTGCTATAACAAAATACCACAGACTGGGTAATTTATAAAGAAGAGAAGTTTATTCAGCTCATGCCTTTGGAGCTTGAGGAGTCCAAAAGCATGGCGCCAGCATCTGGTGGGGTCATCCCATGGTAGGAAGGCGGAAGGCAGAAGTGAGCACGTGAGACGGGGGGAAGACCAGGGCATTCATGCACTTGTGAGGGCTCATGACTTAATCACCTCTTAAAGCCTCCGCTTTCCGATACCATTAAGTATCAACATGCATTTCAGTGGAGACCCTGAAACCATAGCAGTCACCCAGCCTGCAGGGACCGCTTCAGTCTCTAAGTTTTAGAGACTTTCTCTCTCCATTACTTATTTGACACAGCATATGCCTCCTTAGGTGGATGAGTTTTAATTTGCCATTGTGTCTGTGTGATTTTAACTTCCTGAGGACACAAACCATTTTTATGCTGCCATCCATCTGGGCTTCACTTGGCACGGTGCCTTTTGTCAGTCATTCATTCACAAACACTCGCCAAGTGCTCCGTGCTGCACCTGGCGCTGCGCTCACACAGATAGATGCTGGTGATGATAAGATTTGCTTACTCTGTGCCAGACACCACCACTCATGCTCCCCGTGGAATATGCTCTGACCTCCAAGGCAAGTAGGTAACTCCCTCCTTGGGACCAGGTGCACTTTTTCCCTAACTCTTCTACTTCTAAGCCCAGTGTGATGGAATTTGTTTTGTTTATATCTGTCTGCTCTGTGTCACACTTCTTGCCCACAAAAAATAAGTTTAAATCATTCTCTCGACCCTGCTCTCTGGAGCACAGTGCAAGAATGAATGCAAGAGACAAAGATGGGGTGACGTACAGGCGGGCGAGGACAAGCATGCACAGACAGGAAGCTGAGAGCACCCAGCTTCTCAGGAGGGCTGGGCCGTGGCCTGTTTGGGGAATGAGAGTGACAGCACACTTGGATGAGCGGTAGGATAGGGGTCATCTGCTTAGGAAGGGCTTCGTGTGTCTGTAGTTGGAGCCCCAAAGGTTTTTAAGTGGGAAAACGATGTGGTCTAAGCTGTGTCTCATGGCAGGGTCTAGAGGCAAGATGGGTTGGGGCCAGAGTTGCCGTCAGAGGGTGTTGCAGGGTCCTAGGTGACAAGGAACTGAAGCTGGACCAAGGCAGAGGCTTTGAAGATGCAGAGGAAGGGCTGGACTGGGGAGTTCAGGGTCAGCTGAGCAGGACACCATTCCTCTTATGATAAGCCAGGAAGGGACTCAAGGGTGACTGCAAGGTTTCTAGTCTGTGCCTCAGTGACCACGAGTGCTAGTGACAGACTGGAGGATATAGGAAAAGTCCATTGAAAGGAGGAGGTGAATTTGATTCAGGAGAGTTGGGGTCTGAGGGGCCTTTAGATTTTACAGGTGGACACTTCTGTGTTCTGTCACATGGGAAATTCTAGTCTGTCCAATAATATCGGAAAGATTTGGTCGGTGCTGGAGATAAAAGACTTGGGAGCCCTGCACATGTAGGGCACTATTGAAGCCATGGGATTAGGTTAAGAGGTAGGGGACACACCTCAGGGAGAGAAGCTGGCTGAGGATGGCATTATTTGGAGTAGCCACGTCGAAGAGGCCAGAGGACGAGGAGCAGCCGCAGCTGAGCAGGACCGTGGAGAGGGCGGAATCCCTGGTTAGAGCTATCAGTGATGAGACATGGAGAGGCACCTGGCCTGAAAAGAGGCCATCAGATGGAAGGATTAGGGGTCCCCACTGTGTGGCACATTTAGCAATCAAAGAAGAATAGAAACAAGGTCCTGGCACTTCTTCATATTCATGGCCTTTATTAAAGAGCAAGATTGATCTCAAAGGCAGGAGCAGAGTCGAACATTATTCAGTAAGAGAGTGCTAAGTTACCCTGGGCCTGCCCACCACTCTGAGAAGCAAAGCCCCTAATTGTTCCCCTTGCTTGGTAAGAGAGTGAACCCGGAGCTTGGGATTAACGCGGAAGCAAAGTGCTGGTTAGTAAGCTTCTCCAGCAGTTGTCTGATCCTCATCGATCATCATTGATTCGAGTTCTCGTTACCATAATGTGCAAGCAGGGCTGGGTTCTCTGTTCTCCTCGCTGCCACACCCGTGGTCTGGACTGCCTGGCTCTCGTCCCAGTTTTCTTCTCTCCCCTCCCCCAGCCTCCTCTTTAAACAAAGTTTGTACCATTGCTATTTTAAATCCGGGCTCGGCATTTTAAGTAGGTAGGTGCCTAGATTTCCACAGGTGTGACTGCAAATCCATAAATAACAAGCTTTTGTTTCCTGGAACAAGTAAAATGGGCCTCTTTGTACACAGGTGAAGTGGCAGATGTGGCAATCACAGCAGGCCTTTTGCACGGCGATGCTGAGATAAGCACCTGTTGCTCACCACCTGCCAGTGTTTGCCTGGCCCCGCGGCGAAGCCCGCTCCGCCCCTTCTTTGCTGCAGGAGGGACCCCGCCCCCGCGCCCCACCCCTGACGCCCCCTGCCCGCCCAGCCTGGAGCTGGGGAAGGGAGCGACCCCACGTGCCTGCCCTCTGATGGTCAGAGTTTGCGTGACAGTCTAGTGGAGTGACCCGCCTCCCCTCCCCACCCTGCAGCGCTCGGGTTTGAGAAGGTGGAACCTAACCTCCCCTCGCCCTGTGTGAAACCCGCGGTTTGTTTTGCTGTTTGTAAAGGAGCTAACACATACCTAGGCTTCCACACGGCACGTCTTTTCTAGTCTTTCCCAGTCTTTCCATGCCATGAAAACGGCACATTTAACGTTGGCATATATAAGAAATCTGGGTGGGTTAGAATATGTTAAAGATTAGAAGTCATTTTCATTTTGAAATTTTAATATATTCATTCACTGCCTAATTTTTTAATGGGGGATATGAGCTTTTTAAAAAAAATCCCTAATCTGTAGATGTATGCCAGTTTACATATGGATTTAATGTAAAACAAACTAGTGGCTCTTCCTGTACTTCCTGTCTTCTCTCCACCATGCCACTGTCCCTGTTTCATTGGTGTGAATGCGAAGGCCAGCCGGAACACTCAACTCCTTTCATTTTTGAAACTTGAGATGACATTATGCACCCAGCAGTCAGTCAGTAAATGCTGCTGACTTAGAGAAACGGGGCAAAAGCCCAGTGCAAGCCACAGCGATGAGAGTCCCCAGCCCCTGCCTCCCCTCCCCGTCTGCTCCACCGCCGGACTGTGCCTGTGCCGAGTGGACGCTGTTGGTGTTGGCTGTTCCCACGATGCTTTTCTGTCTTGGGCATGGGATGAATGGATAGAGAAATAAAGCTGTGTGGGCGTAAATCAATATGTGTGTATATCAATAGCCATCCCTAAAACTCAGATCCTGGGGTATCCAGAGACCCGAGTTCTGGCTCCAGTTTTGCTGTGCACTAGCTGTGTGCCCTTGAGAGGGCCATCCACCTCTCTGAGCTTTCATTCCTCTTCTGTAAAATGAGGGAGAATGGAATTAATGATCTCTGAGGTGACCCTTTTAGATAAAAAGTTATGATTCTTAGAACTAAAATTAAGAAGAGAAGGTCTCATCATGATTTTACAGCCATCCCCATGGTTAGGGCAAGATGACAGGTGCCCGGGGAAATGACAGGTGCTCAGGTGTCCACGGGAAATGTAGTGGGAGAGAGGGAGCCTGGACAGCCAGGGTGGCTTGGCGGAAATGGGTTCCTGCATCAAGGAACAGGCCGTCATCACGTTTTGTGCCGGCTGCTTCACCTCCAGTCGGGAAGGTAAGGCCTGCTGAGATTGCTCTGTCCACGCGTCCCTCCCTCCCTCCTCTGCTGCTCAGTCCAGGCAGCCAGAGACTTTCCCATCCTTCAGGTCTTTGATTCTTGTGTTGCCTTTCTGCCCTTAAATTAGAGTCTGTTTCAGGGTGTGGCACAGGGCGGGTGGGTGACTGCAGGGTGGAAGGAGAGGTTATCCCTCCTTCAGAGACCCACAGACCATGCATTTCTCATTTCAGGGCCTTACAGAGCATTTTTATTTTCTCTTTGTTTTTGTATCCACTTAAGCAAGAAGAACAAAAACAACAAGGACTTCAGTCAGGGTGGGGCCCCTGACACTAACAGCCAGGAGAAGCAAGGGCAGCTGCCACCTCCCTGGGTGTTTGTCCTATCGGCACCATTGAGACTCAGGCCGAATGAAGCTTCTTTTTCATTCAAAAACCCTCTTCCCCACAGAAGCTGGCACACTGAGTCCTTATAGGTCTCTCCAGGGATGGGGGCAGAGTAGAGAAGATGGGCCATGAAAAGTGGAACTGCAACACTGTTTGAGAAAGTGCAGCCCACCATATCCCACATCTGAAAATTATTGTGCATTCTGATGCTAGAGTCACACATAGTAACTGTGGTCTCCTCATGCCCCTGGACGAAAGTGTTGGGTACGCCCCCTACCCCCCAGCTTATTTCTTGGGGTCCGATCTCTGCCACGTCCAGCCATTTTGTAACCAGCATCCTTGGGACAGATGGCAGGAGCAAGGTGAGCCATCTTGTGTGTATTCCCATTGAAACTCGGAAGTTCTGGAAGTTCTGGGAAATGGAAAGATTTGGTGCAATGTCATTCATAAAATGGCTTTGTGCTTGTTTTTCTTTTGCAGGCGTTCACCACCTTCCTGTGTCTGTACGGCATGGTGTGGTATGCAGAACACTATGGTCACCGAGAAAAGGTATGGAAGGAGAGGCAGAAATGGCCTTTGTTTAAAATAATCACCCCGTGCTTGGAGGGTTAGCCCCGCGTGTGCATGTAAGAACGTGGCATGGCTGGCACTGTCTTCTACAGCATCAGCGGTGTTGCTGCTGTAGAAACTTCCCCATGTCAGGAAGTCATTCCCTATCATTGCTTTCCCTGCCTGTGACTTCCCTGTTCTGTGGGTATTTTTATCTTCCTTTTGTAAGGTGTTTAAATACTACATTTTTGTTTAAAAAGAAAAAGCTGTGGGAAAGCCTTGGCCCGGTGTTTGGAAGGCTGGGCTTTATTCCCGGCTCTTGTACTCTGTCTGTGCAGGTCTCTTGGTGTGGCCCAGCCTGGGCTCCCCCTCTGCAAATGCTTGCCCTGCCCTCCTATTTGTAGATACAAGGATTAAAGTCAAAAATAGACATGAATGGGTTTAAAACGCCATAGCAGTCTTGTCAACTGCAGTATTTTTTTAAGTAAAAATAACGCTTTCATCCTTTATACCTTTAGTGCTAAGAACTAAAGATACTTTCCAGAAGATTTATTCTATATTAGCTGGGAGAGAGAAGACCCTTGATTGTCTAGCTGGGAAACATAGCATGAGGAGGTTTTGTCACTTGCTAGTGCCATCCCAGCCTGGGAGAGGCAGGGGCAGAACACGCTCACATTTTGCCCTGCCGCTCCTCCCAGGGAGCACACGAAGGGCCACCACTAAGCCTGTCTCTCTCCCTAGACCTACTCAGAGTGTGAAGATGGCACCTACAGTCCAGACATCTCCTGGCATCACAGGAAAGGTACAAAAGGTATCTTTTTCTCATTCATTGTTTCAAACTTTCCTGGGTCCTTGAGATTTGGAATTCATATTTTATCCTCCGAGTGTTGATGATGTGTGCCTGGAAGGGTCTCAAACCTACTCATCGAATGTCTCCTGTCACTTATTAAAGAAACATGCAAAGTGCTCACAGGATCTGCCCGAGAAACTTGCTTTGTAAGAAGAGGCTTCGTGTAGCTCAGGACATATCGAGCGTACACCATCTCAAGTACACTGATGGGAATGTTCTTGGCTTTCATCATGAGCGAAAAGGGTTAGAAAGAATTGTGTATCAAGAGGAAAAGCCTTTCAAAAGAGGTAGATTGGTGTAATCGTATTTATTCGAGAGGCAGAGCAGCACAAGAGAGATTTCAGTAGTGTGGTTCGGGATCCTCCATTGGCCCCTAAGGAGTATTCTGGAAAGATTTGGGACCACTTGGTTATTTTAAAGAATTAGACTTGCGGAATCATGACACTGAGGGGACTTCATTGGACAGTAATTCCTTGTCAATTCTTTTGAGCTGAGCTGATTGGGAAGCTTGGCTGAGGAGAGAAAATTATGATGCTAGAGATTAAATTTTAGCCCACAGAATCACTCAGAGAGACAGGCCGTGGAGAAGAAAGCACTCCATTGCTGTTCTCCGGAGTTCTTTCGGGGTCCCGCTTGTTGAAGTTCTCCCTGGGGAAGACACTAGAGTACACTCTCCTGAGTTGCCGGCCACCTTTTTGGGGATAGTTTCTCCTGAATGACGGAGTCGATCCGTGACCCACTATGGAATTCTTTGGACACGGGTTCCCCAGACTTGTTGTATTTAGAACCATCCCCTTACAGATCGATGTTGGCACTTCCAGGTTCTCTGTTGAAAAGAACTAAGCAGTGATAGAGATAAAATTATTGGATGACATAGTAGAAAAATAGTAAAAAGCAGAAACAAGTCTATAGAGTTGTAAAATAGTCTCCTGATCTAAGCCAAATGCTACTTACAAATGGGGACAAAAGCTCTGGGAACTTTTTTAATGGCTGTCTAAGGTGGTGATCAGAGCCCTGGGGCAGAGAACCCCTGGGCTTGGCTGCTGGGCCAGGCAGGGGTTGATCACAAGCTTGATCTGAGGGTAGAGCCAGACCAGTGCTGCGGTGTGTCTCAGGGCTGTCACGGGCAGCAGTGGCCTGGTCTGGAATGATCCAATGGTAGAGGACATGTAATATCTTTAATTTTGTGATGTCAAGAATCCTTTCCAATGTAGGGTTTAGAAACTCTGGTATCTAGCAGATCAAGGTATGGAGACCCAGGTAATACAACCCTTGGTTACAAGGTGGACACCTATGTGGTTTAATTGTTTCTCATTTGTGCTTCCGTTCCACTTTTACTCTCACCTATGGTGCTTGTCACCATGACCCAGTCTACCCTACGCGGTGCAGGTGCACACATTCTTGGAACCACCCAGACTTTGTGGGGCTGTTTCCTGGCCCCACAGAGGTACTGGCTGTGCTAGCTCAGCACTGGGTTTCCAAGGCCCTGCTTTAATTCACTGACAGGCCACTAGGTGGAGCGCAAGCACCGGGGAAGAGCCTGTCCTCAGGGCAGGCGGGGGGCCCTCTGGAAAGGGAGAGCCGCCACCCACAGGAGCCTGGGTGACGGTGTGCTGTGTGTGTTGTGATTCCTTTGGCCAGGTTCTGAAGACAGCCCACCCAAGCATTCAAGCAACAACGAAAGCCATTCTTCCAGAAGAAGGAATCGACATTCCAAGTCAAAAGTCACCAATGGAGTTGGAAAGAAATGAAAGACCGTGGTTAATCAAAGATGTTCCAGAGAGTGCCTAGAACTGAGAGGGAAACGGAACTCATCTGGACCTCCCTGTTAGGAGGTCAAAATGTACAGCGCAAACAGGAAGAGGAGAGGGAACTTTTGGGGTCATTATTTGAGAGTGTAAGTCTTGTTCCCCACAGACCTGGCCACACAGGTAGCTCACGGCCTGGAGTCCTTTGCCAATTGGGGTCTCTTCTAACTTCGCACTTGGCATGCTGTCACCGGTAGCAGTACAGTGTGTTGGACGCAAAAGGTAGCTATTCACTCACCGCTGCCCAGAGCGGCTCTGTGCTTGCGTGTATTGTGGATGCAAAGTAAACATCTTCATGCAGACTAGGTATTAACCGGATGGTTACGGACTGGTCACCAGTTTTTATTTTTATGAATCTGCCTTTCCATTTGATTGAGCTGTTTTGAGTTCAGGCCACTTTTCTGTCTTTTATTTTGTTGTTTTTATTTGTTTTTAAGTTAGGATGCTTAAAAGCCTTCAGAAACCAGTGCTGAAATCGAAATTGGGGGAGGGTTCCCCTTCTGTCTAGAGAAAAAGGGGGCGAGAGCAGGTGTGATCCTGTTTCGTGACCTCAGTCCCCTTTTTTGAGACATTCACCGCATGGCGGGTGTGCACCAGCCCGAGGAGAGGGAGCTGCCTGCATAGGAACCTCGCTTCAGATCGGAACCTTTCTCGTTCCCCTCCAAATGTCATTTGTCCAGACGTACCCACCGTGCACAAAAGCAAACCCGTCAGAGAGGCAGTGAACACCGCGGCTTCCCCCCAGCCAGGTGCCTTTTTACATTGCATTTGTTTTCATTCCGTGGTGTGTTGGCGACATTGTCTTTTAGTCCCATGTGAGGTGCTGGTGAGTATTACCTTTCGTCTGTGCCATGCTCTAGCTAGAACGTTTACCCTGATCGTTCACCACCTCTGATTTAAATAAAATGATTCACGTTAAAACCCATCAAAGGTCTGTCTCCGTAAAATGCTCATTTCTTTGCATCTTATTGGTATTTTCCATTGTAAGCAATAGCTGTATTTTTCAAGTGACTTTAGGGTAATACGTATGTGTGTGTCTTTATATAGTGAGAAGAAATAGGAAAAAATATGTATTTTAAAGGGCTTGCAGGCATGTACGTACTACTTCTTAGCCTTCCCAGGAGATCAATAGGAAATGAACAACATAGTCACCGTTCTTTCCCATGGTAATGGTTACCAAGTTGGATATTTTTTTCTCTAACAAGAGGCCAGTACCCAGTTGATTAGCTTTCAGATATCAGCTCACTGAAGGCAACCCTTTTGTTCCCTCATTTCACAGAGCACAAGATTTCGATGTCTTTTCTCCATTTAAGGAAATCTTTAACCATAAAAGCATCGTGTTTTTCTTTTTCTGCAAAAGAATTCTGAGGTGAAGGAGTTAAATAAATTATGCATGACTGGGGTCATATCCCGAACTCTGGGCTCTGGACCATTTGGTTTGGAGCCACCCACCGACTGCTGCAGCAGTCTGCACTGTTGGAAGTACGGAGTGGAGAAGGATCTAGTGGTGGCTCAGCTCGCATGGTGAGTGAGGGACTTGGCCGTGATGGATGGGCCACAGCGCCTAGCTCTCACATGCCGTCCAGCCAGCATCTGCTTCCTTCCCATAATAGTGTCCAAGAGAAGCGAAGAGGTACATGCTTCATCAACTTGCCTGCACTTTAATAACCCATCAAAGAGCCCTTTTTAAAACATAGGTACAATTTAAACATGATTTTACTTTGCAGGTAGGTAGGTGTGTTTTGTTTAATTCTGCATTTGCTTTTCTGAGCACCGAGTGCTTTGCACATCCAATACACCATCTCTCCTTCCTCTGCCTGTGGCATATCACTGAGTGTTTGCAGGTTCATTTTTCGGGGGAGCTGAACCTGGTGCTTTGACACTCCTCTGACTGATAGCTCAGCCAAGCCGATGAAGCATGTGTCCTTTCTCCACGGCTGGCCCAGAGGAGGCACCTGTTTAGCATGTGATGAACTGAACTTGACTTTGGCACATGTGAAGGGCAAAGTGCACATGAGACAATTTTTCCTCCATGGCTCTGTAGGAAACAGCCAGGACAGTCCTCAGATACTTTCCATGTCCTTTGAGTTCAAACTTTCTTTTTCCCCTTTCCATAAGAGGTCTTGACTGCACTGGTTTCAAACCCAGAGCTTTCCGTGGCTGGCCAGAACCATGCTGCCATTCCTTTTGGAAGCCGTACTGCTGGGTTTGGCCTACTTTTCCCACCCGTTTCTATGGAAATAGACCTCACATTGATGGAAATAGAATACATGGTTCAGAATCATCATCCAATATCTGAAATGATTTGATTGTAAATTATCTCATGTTCTCCATTCGCAAACTGCCCTCCTAAAGACACCATTGTTTTGGGCATAAAGCACAAAGAACTTTTTATAGATTTTTCTCCTTAAGTAGCATTGTATCGAGTGTTAGGTTCTTTTCCTTTTTTGTCATTCTTGGTCCTTCCAAGGCCTCTCCCTGCTTTTCTTGTGTCTGTTTTCACCACCTGTAGAAGCCTTGGCCAAACTGCTGCCTTGGCAATGCTGGGATGTTCCGTTGACCTATTAAGCATTTTGATGATACATGACATCCTGTAAATGCCAGTCTTGTTGTCACTGGGACAGCTTCTACAGTAAGCTTGTGAGGAAGGTACTCACCCAGGAGAAATAAAATAAAATCTATTACCAAATACATCAGCCTTAGCCCTATTGGTCTTCCCTCACCCTTTGGAATTGGGTTTCTGGAGTATTTGGGGTATAACAGTGCACTTAGAGAGGCCCTCACAGGGTCACTGAGGAGGAGAGGAGGTTGGGCACAGAAGGGGAGACTGAACACAGGGTGGGAAAGAAAAAATGTAACCACTGGAAGCCAGACTGAAGTGAGCTGGAGGATGGTAACTCCCATGCTCTTTGGATTGTGCTCAGTGACTGCAGCGGAATTCCCGGGCCCACCACCGCCTTTAACCAGGTGGGTGTTGTCTGTATGGTTCTTGTTATGACAGCTAGAAATCCCATAGGTAGACTATTGCAGTGCTCAATACATTTCCCATTTATGTTTGAGATCAAGATGTAAGGAGAGCGTTTGTCAGTGTTCTGCTACGTAGTGCACCACTTTTCTTCATGTGTGTATGTGCATTTCCAGGATTGTATTAGAGATTTGGTTCTTTGCAAGGGTCAGTATTTGGTAGTGGCTGAGACAAATGGGCTGCAGACTTGTTGCTTACCCATAACAATGAGATTTTGACATTTCCCTTATCACATTTTATTTTAAACCTGATGGTAGGACTATCATAGGTGAAGCTTGCAATATTTTTAAAATTGAACTTTGGTATTTAATGCATTAAATAGGGCTTTTTAATTTTGCTGTTTTCTATGAATTTAAAGAAATTATTTATTGACGCCTACCAAAGAAGGGGAAAAATAGTTGGATATGAATTTAGTTTGCAGGAAGGCCAAATTGTAAAAATCTTTTTTGTCTCCATTGTTCATTAAAAAACGCCTTTAGTTCATTTCAGAAATTTCATCTGTGACTTTGTCTACTCTGATATTCCCCTTCTTGCCACTTGTTGGGTGGAATTTTGAGAAAGTATTTGTTGTCACAGTCTAACACTTCCAGGGTTTGCAACAGGTCCAGGTATCTCATGTGACTAAGGCCTCACGTGACTAAGCTTAGTCTATACCTTGTAAACTCTGACACTAGTGCTACTCTTGTTGAACACTGGTCTGTCTCCAAATTCAGCACACCTGGCTGGCTGCAGCAGTGGGTAACAGGCAAGCTTCCTGCCTGCAGTCTTAGCAAAACGCCCTCCTAAACCCCCAGCATTACTGTGCTCTTGCAGCAGAGAGGAGAAGGGTGTTGGCAAATCCATCCCCATCTCAAAAACCCAGTGAGGACAGTAATGTTATTCAGAAAATGGAATTTGCCCAAGGGTTTTGCTTTCACAGCTGATGCAACCAACCACCCAGCCTCTTTAACTGACCAGGGCTCAAGCTTGTACTTCTTGTGCCCAAGTGTTAATTACTGGTTTACTTTGTTATTGGAAAACTGAAGATGTCGCACTAATGCGGGTCAAAACTGTGGGCACCAATAATGCCCTGTGATGGCAGAAACGTTTGCTCAGAGCCGCCGACTTCCTGCCCCTGGGAGCAGTGATCCCAGGCCTCCGATACCCGTGTTACCAGCGTAGGGTGTGTCTCCCTTTCTGGACGCTGAGAAAAGGAAACTCTTGTGACTTTACAAACCACGGGAAATACAGTATGTCTGCCTTTAAAAGATAAAAAAAAAAAAAAAAATTAAATTTGAGACTAAAAACCCAAAATATTGCATTTTCATGTCTGAAGTATACACACAATAGCCTTAATTAAGGAGTCAAATTGCAGGCAGGGTTTACGTAACAACGCAGGCTGGAAATCTGGGCTGTCAACCTCACTTTTCCCACTCGCCTGACGAAGGGCTGTTTGGCGCATTCTCATCAAGCCAACTGTGTGCATCATGGGCTGATCAGGGATTTTACCGGAGCAAACTGGGAAAGGATTAAGAAAGCTCTCCAGCTTGCAAAATGTTTAGGATCCTCCACCTTCTCTTAGAGTGGATGGAACCCAGGCCAGCAGCAGGGGAGTAAGGATTGTCTAGGGCCTCTGCTCACCAGTCTCCTGGACCAAGGCATTTGGAAGATTGGAACCTTCCGAACACCCCTGTTTGGGGGTTTCAGCACCCGCGCCCTCTAGTCCCGGACTCCTAGTGGCCGAGCTACTTTGCACACAGCTTGCACACAGAGCACACAACCAGTAGGGGCCGCTGCAGATCGCCGCAGAGCCTGAGGCTCTTTCTCCAGCCCGGCTTGTTCCCATCACCAGCCCACAGCCCCAGGCGTCCCCGCGGACTCCGTCCTGACCGGCCTCCGCAGCGGGCAAACGGATGGCGAGGAGCTGGCTCCTTTGGGCATCCCACACCTCTGCCTCCCTCTCCTCCTTGGAAGGAGACTCAGATCTCAGGTGCTCGCTTTATTAGAGATGGCCAAACCTCCAAGCCACTCTCCAGATGTTGGCTGCAGGTGTGATTGCTGGTTGTGAGCTCAGTGAAAGGAATAACTGGTGTCGGCCTTCAGTGTCTCCCGTGTTGCCCGGCCTTGACATCCCGTTGTTTCTGTGGCCCAAAACGAGCCAAGACGCCATCCCTTGAAGCGGGGTCCCCGTACCTCCAGGTGGGTTCATTTCCTGATGTTCTGACGCATTCTGCGAACTGTCAGAAGGCAATTCCTCTCCCCTGTAGCAGCCCCCTCTGTCCTCGGGAATGTGATTTACAATCTGGTGAGGCCATAAACCGCTGCTTTTCACTTCTGAAAAGCAGCAAAGTATGGGAAAGAATGTAAATTATAAATACTGAATTCCTATGGTCAGCAATAATGTTATGGCCTGGGTGGGTTATTTTTTTCATATGGTATGCATATGGCTTTAATTTCAAAGGGGCTGGGTCCTCCCCCCACCACCACATTTCCAGGGAGAACAGATAACAGCAAAATGTCCTGCTGAGATAGTGTTTTTCCAAAATGAAAAAAATAACATTTCTTTAATGACTCATTGGCCAAATACTTTGAAATGCCACTCTTCACAGAGGGGGATGGGATGGTAAGGGACAGTGACATTCCCATACTCGCCGGCCTGGTGATCTAGTGTCACTCTGCCCCAAAACAACCCCCAGTGTTCTCACTTAGCAACCTCCCAATTTTAACTCTCTAGGAGGAGAGTTTCCTGTAAGATTTTTGAAATTCTCTTCCTCTTTTATCAGTCAGTGTTCCGCTCGCTAACTGGGAACAGACTTCTGATCGCTGCCACAAGCAGTAAAGACGGCCACAAAGCTGTCCTGAAGACGGAAAGGCGGTGTGGGTTTGAGTTTTCATTCCAGCGGTGGGTCA